AATTTTAAATTATAATAACAATTATTATTATTATTATTATTATTACTATTATTATTATTATTATTATTATTATTATTATTATTATTATTATTATTATTATTATTATTAAATTTTTTATTCCATTTATGTTATAAATAAAAATAACTTTTATTTTAACAATTATTTTTAATTAATATGATGAATATATAACATTAGAAATGTTCTCAATGGTTTCTAACAAAATTTTGTATATTTTCATTTTTTGTGTTCTATGCTTTTTTAGAATTTTATTATTCAATTATGACATCACGAGTTTTCTAAAAAGTTGGATCATTGACCCACCATCTAGATAAGAAAATAGCTTTGCTTTCAAATCAGTTTTAAATTACATTTTCATCTACATTATATTAATAAATTTTGCTTATCACACTTAAATTTTGTTTGACATAATTAATATATAATTTTTTATATATTCTTTTGATTACTTGTACTTTTTATTTTTAAAATATTTATTATTTAACTATCATATCATCGACTAATCTATTTGACCGAAACCACTAACCTACCACCCCAAAAGGAAAATAATGTAATTTCTAGGTTGATATTAAATTTTGTATTACATTTCCATCATTGACTAGAAGTAGAGAAGTTTGAAAAACTTTGCTTTTAAGAGGACACCACAGGAAAGGAGTGGGGAGCCAAAAAAAACAAAAAAGAAAAAAAAAAACAAAGGGCTTATAAAAGCCCCATAGTTTCCGGATGGCATGCCCCGAAGGGGCCAGCTAGAGATCCAATGCACTACAACGGAAGGAATTATGCCATAGCAAGGTGAGGGAAAGGTAGATGGGTAAGATTTAGGTGTAGTAAGACTAAGGTGTGATGGGTAGGTTTTGAGGTGCGATGACCAGATTCAAGAGTGTGATGAGTAGGAAGGAAGGTGTGATGAATAGGTTTTGAGGTGCGATGAGCAAGTCTTGAGGTGCAATGAGCATTTTCTGATGTGCGACGATTAGGTTTTGAAGTGCGATTTCAAACTTCAAGGTTGCAACTGAGACAAAAGAGGCTATGATTTTAACGTTCTGAGTTGCAATGGGACTAAACTAGGTGCAATTTCAACATGTAAGGGAGGTCTATCAGGTTGAGCATCGCTGAAACATGATTTTGAAGCAAGTTGGATAGCTATTGCACCTAGCCTCACTGGGATGTGATTTTGAATCACATTCCTACAACTTTTAGTATTACTAATGCAAAACAAATAATCCCTAATTTTGAATCACTCAAAGAAATGGAGTCACCACCCATATTTTAGAAGAAATGGGCCCTCATTTTAGATTCAGAAATTGATTTACTTGCTTTTATAGTAACTCTGTTCTTCACCAAAAAAGGCACCTAACCGAGAGATTTTGGATCCCAAGGATTGGGAGAGGGAAGAAATTAAGCACCCTTCTCAGTTGATGTAGTAGCCCAATACGGGAGTTGGCTAGGCTCTACATCTAACGAAACATCAATAAAAGTGGTTGCTCAAAACTCTAGAAATTAGAAGAAAATGCTCCCAACCTTACCCATATTTGATTTGAGGTGATGTTATTGGGTCTTAGGTACTGATTTCCCTAAGACCCTCACCTCTCTTCCTCTTTTTGTCATTTTGGATGAAACCAAGAATGCAAGTTTCCCATGGTTTCTGGACCTCAAGCAATCTAGAACTAAGTTGAAAATAAAGATTTACGAATTCAAACTTAGAAAAAATAATGAAATGAGAGACTTACCTCTCGTATAAAACCTTGACGGGAGTTTTCCAACAATGGGAATAAGTTCAAAGAAGATTAAATGAGATGTTAGGATGGATGGTGCACTTTTTGGTTTCAAATCTTGCATTTGAAAATAGAGGGGTGGATTTGAAGTTTGATTTTCAAGGGCTTTGGGGTGTCAGGTAAAATAGAGACAATACAAAGGTTGGGGAAATGCTTTTTTTCTCTTCTTCTTCTATTTTAAATCTTTCTCTTTCTAGTTTTCTCCCCCTCCTCTCCCTTGAGCTTGAATTAGATCAATATTTATAGAGAAAGGAAGGGGGAGATTTCTAAAATTCATCCGATCACAAGTCTTGGGCTTCAAGAAAGCTCTTACAAGAAAATGGACAAGGATTTTTTAAAGAAAATAGTGATTAGTTAACTTTTCCTCTTTGGTAAAAGATTGTCTTCGATTTGGGGGTGGTTTTCATGGGTTTTGTGCATCTCGTAAGAGCTTGGAGTGTGCCTATCATGGCAGTCTCCTATAAGGGGTTGTTAGTGGCAGAAAATGTAAATTTAATGAACTTTTAAATATGGTTTTGACTTTTTTCAATTTTAAATGGGGGTATCTTTGGGTTTTTAGGCTTTTTGGGTCTATTAGGCTCAATTTCATTGGTCTATTAGAATAGAATTTTGGCACTTTCAAGGTTAATCATTGTAGACTTGCGGTGGGATTCTCTAGTTAATTGTATCTTAGTGATCTTGGGGCAAGAGATATGTTGGATCAGGGCCATGAGTAAAGAAGTTAGCATGATGACTAATGAGTGTGACTAATTTATAGTTTCCTAAGTCTATTGGCCATATTTGATTGAATGTCAATGTTGATCTTGAGGTTTTCATTTATCCTGTGGATTGTGTCAAAAGAGGGATTTTTTGCTTTGTGAAGTATCAATTTGATCTAGTTGTATTTCCAAGTTTTGTGGTCTAAGAGTAGAGTACAAAGAGGTATGATGAAAAGATCCAGCAAAAATTGGGTGCCAACAACTTGACTAAGACAATATTTAATTTCTACATTGATTTTAAATTTGGCAGTCCATTTTCATCATTAATAAAAACTTCTTATTTTTGTTTAGTATAATGAGTATACAATATTAAAGATATGCCTAATTCTTTTTATTCTTTTTTAAGCATTATATATTTTATTTATTTTAATTTTTTTATTATTTAATTATGGCATTATTTATTAACCCATTTGACCCAAAATCATTGAATTGCTTGCCCACCACCAAGAAAGAAGAAAATGATTTTGTTTTCAATATATTTATTTTTTTACTATTAAAATTAATGTTATGGATTTAATTAGTAGAATTTAATGATGGGAAAAATATATTTTAAGTATAGGATTTAATGAGAGAATATACCTTAGATATGATATTTAATGAGAGAAAATAGGAAAATAGTTTTATTTCCAAATGGTTTTAAATTTTAGATTCCATTTCTATCATTAATAAAAATATTTCTTATTTATCATACTTATTATTGTTTAATATGTCAAATATATGATGATAAAAATGTTCTCATTTTTTTACTTCTATATTTTTTTTTTGCATTTTACTATTATTGAATTTTATTATTTAATTGTGGCAACATGGATTGACCCATTTGACCCAAAATGGTATAATTTCTTACCACCACTTAGATTTAAAACATTATTTTTTTTCCATGTAGATTTTAAAAGTATAAGCTTTTATGTTATTAGAATTATTAATTTATTATGTATGGATTTAATTAATAGAATTTAATGATGAAATGAAACAAAAATGCCTTAAATATATAATTATGAAGTTGAATGCAAGTTAATACCTTAAATGTTGTATTTAATGAGAGAGAATTGAATGCATTGAATATCTTAAAATTACCTCTCTTCAATTCATTTAATATTAATAATTGATTACCCTATTTGTCCTTATTTTTTATCAATTAATTTAAATATGAAAGAACAAATTTTATTCTAAGAAAATTCCAAAAATATTCCTGAGACAATTTGTGCTTTTTCATGAAAATTGAAACTTGACAGGGATGGAACTAGTGCAGTTGGCCCTATAATCCTATTCTACAACTAACCCTTTGCTAGCGTTTGGTCCTATTAAGAATTAATAATGGTAGAACCCATGACGGTCCAAGAGCAAGCAGGCCCTTCTCTCTCGTCCTCATATTCAATATGGACCTACCCACAATCGAACCACATGCAAGGTTTTCAATTGCAGGGTTGTGAGAATATAATTAGAATAATTAACCCTTGTCCTCCAAATCCACATGCCCACCACCAACCACATTAATGGACAAATGTAAATTGGGTTACAGCTATTTTGAAATGTAAATTGTTACCAAGTTTGATCAAAACACACACTAATAGAATCCGAAACTGAACTTTAATTTTTGCATAAATGATTGAATCATGAAAAGTAATTTAGATTGTTAACGATTATTAAGAAAAGTGACTAAATAATTGAAACTATTATAAGAGACTATACAATTAGGACGCCGGATATAATGGATCAAACAAAAAGTATTTTTTTTTTGTCTTCTAATTTTATTGTTAAATTCCATCTAATTCCATCTAACTCCATCTAACTCCTATTAAGAAAATGATTTTGTCTTCTAATTCCATCTAACCAAACATAATCTTGAGTAAAAAAATGCAGATTCCAATTGTCTTCTAATTTTATTGTTAAATGACGACCTGGGTCAATGGTGGTTTAGCTAGCTAGAAAAGCATTTTTTTTTTATTTTTGAAATTAATGTTTTTTAAAGTACCAAATCACTGGTTTAATTGCACAAGTTCACACCCTGGTCAAACCAGTTTGGATTAAATCTGCGTTCACATTTCCGGTTCAATGACTGGCCCATATTGTACTAACTAATTAATAAATAAATTTAATTATCAACTAGATTATCTAGATAATTTACCACAAAATATCAAATTATTAACTTCTATAGTAGCAGTAGTGGATAGCTCTAACAAAAAGAAAATCGTTATAATTTTTTAAAGAAGAGTGACGTTTCAACAGCAAGATCCCATTTTGATGGATACAGAAATTTCAGTACATTAAAGCAGAGTATTACTTGCTCCCACAATAAGAAACATGTATATCCCTTAAAATGTCTTTTCTGCAACTATGGCTTGTTTGTTAGGTTTGGAGTTTTCTTTATTTGATAGGCCCAATATGGACCCTATCTAGGCTGTTTTAGTTTCAATTGTATATAACTAAAACATCAGAATACTACAGCCCGTGATCATCCCTGTCCTTTGAGTTAAATTATTTTTGGCTCAGGCCAATCCAAGCACAGCAGAATGCAGGAGGCCAACTCCATTAACTGATCAGCTAATGAAGCTCTCACCTATAAAATGGCAGAAATGAAGCCCAGCTTTACACACACAGAAGAAGCTTAGATATATAGAGCTTCTTGCTTTGTGCTTATTTTCCTTGTCACCCCAGAAATCTTTTCACCATGACTTTCTCTGTGATCAGATCAGCTAGAAGCATGGTCCGGCCATCTGGGCCGACTCCGTCCGGCGTGCTCGATCTCTCCTTCATTGATGGAATGCCGGCCTTGCGGACCAAAGTTAGAGCTCTGCATGTGTTCAGGCATGGCCAGGAAGCTGCAAAGGTCATAAGTGAAGCCTTGTCTAAGGCACTGGTTCCATACTATCCCATGGCGGGGAGGCTAAAGGAATCAAGCCAAGGGGTGCTCCAGATTTCCTGCACTGGAGAAGGCATCTGGTTCGTCCAGGCATCTGCTAATTGCAGTCTTGAAACGGTTAATTATTTTGATAATGTTGGCATGACGCCAAACGATAAGCTCCTTCCAGATCAACCTTTTGAAGCTAATGGCATGGACCCTCTTGTGCAAATGCAGGTACCTTCTTAGAGTCGTCTACATTTTATTATTATTATTATTATTATTATTATTATTATTATCTTTTCTTGTATTACATTACTAGGTACATGAAAATGGAAATCATGGAACAATTGAGCTGAACATACTAGGTGCATGTATGGGTGGATTCAAGCTCAGTTGAATTGAATATTTGAGTATTCTAGTTTGGTTCACCAAAAAATTATGAGGCTCAAGTTCGAGCTTGAACTCGATAGATTTGAGTTTGAATTCGGCTCAACTCAAAAACTTGTAAGTTTGAATTCGGTTTGGCTCGAACTCAACTGTGAGCCAAATGTTCTATAAAAATAAAAAATTAAACATATAATTTTTTTATTTTATATATAAAAAATTAAAAATTACAAAAACTAATTGTTATTATTATTATGCATATAAAATTAAAAATTATTTTTTATTTATATATATATATATATAAGCTCAATTAGACTCGTAAATCTCACAATCTAAGTTTTATTGGACTCAAGTTCAACTTAAAACTCATTTTAAACCAAGCTGAATTGTGATTTCCATGTACCAATATCGGATAACTTGTGAAAAAATCGATTTGTATTCACCCCTAGGTACACGTTAGGTCGGAAAGCTTGCAGTTCTTTAATCGACTACTGGGTTCAAGGGTGTCTAACAGCAAAGATATCTAGGTCACAATCGTTCTGGTTTAACCATTGATCAGATGGTTTTGGCCGGCCGGAAAAGTTATCTAAAAAATTGGGACCCAAAAATTTGATTGAGGCACCGGTTATCGCTGGATAAACCACCAGTCCGACCCAAGGCTGACTACACACACTGACCAGATCCGGCCATTTTTTTTAAGCCAAGAAGCAAATTCCACTAATAAATGCTCAGATGGCATGGCCAATAAGTATAATCAGAAAGGAAAGACAAAAAACAAAAACTCATGTAAAACATTTAGTCGTCTACAGTCTACGCTTACTGAGAAAATGAAGTAATCATGAGCAGCGGGAGAGGACAGAGAGGGTCGATAACGTTTATTCAATAAATGTTTATTGAGAGTGTCACATATGCGCAACTTTAACATTTTTTTTCTCATGCATCCAAAATGAAAAAGTCAATTTTGGTGTTTGTGCATGTCAGCCGTTTGTGGAAGTTATTTTTTAAAGTTTTTACAGACAGTCAAACATTTTTTCACTATTAAGCTGATGTAGAGCCTAATGGTGCTTAGTTGTCATAAACAGTTGTAATTATTGCATTTCTCGTTAGAGATCTACTGCTATTCAATAAACATAAATAGAATCAAACACATACTATGTTAGAGATCTACCGTTATTTCTAAGAAAGAAGTTATGCAGATAAAGAATATGATGTTTTCAAAACAAATTATTCTTGAACTCTGTTTTCGTTTTCAAAGGGAAAAATAAATTGATTTTGTTTTAAAAAACAGCACAACAAAATCAATTTTTTAGTATATGAATTGTATGATTCATAGAACATGATGTTGAATAATCAGATGAAAACATGTTTTTAAAACCAAATTCAAAACATGCTTTCGATTATAGTTTTACAAACAGAAAATACACACACAAATGAGAATATGTTTTTTGTGTTCTTGTTTTAACAAACAATCTATTTTCAAATAAGATGGTTTTGATTTATTTTTGAAACTACAAACAACGAAAACAATTGGCATTGCAGGGTGCTCCCTTATTCTCCGATAATCACTAAGATAGGCATCCTGTTATAGAATGTTACGTTATAGAGCACATTCCAATTGAGCATATCTATTTCTGGAAGCCTGCCTGGAACAGAACAATTATATATTGTATATAAATTAATAACATTGAAAATGAGTATTTTAATTGATCATTTCATATAAGAAGTAAATTAAACAAAAAATATCAAAATATTATATGTTATTAATAAAACGACTTAAATATTGTATTAATTTCATAAATAAAATGAATTGAAAGTTACTTGTATTTAAAGCAACGACAATTTTGTTATAAAACATAGAACTTTATTATTATTCTTTTTTGTCTGAATCCCAAAGGAAAATTTTATTCATCAATCACACCACAGAATTCACAAGAGCAGGAATGGAAGAGTACTGGGTCATGGGGCAATTATGCCTATTGGCTACTATATGACAGGTGAGATCAAGGTTTTTAAAACCGATCCGGAGAATGAATCAGTCAGGTTCGGTTCTTGGGTCGAATGGCTCGACTGTTTAAACCGAATGATCAGTCTATTTTGATAAAAAAATAAAAAACGAACAAAATCATTGAACAGTTCAAATGGTTTAACTGCCCGGGTCAATGATTTATTGACCAAATCAACGTTTTTTTTGCAAATATCCGATTTTGGGGAAAATGAAACCGATCACCTGAGCGGTTCCCGGTTATTTCGATCCATCCGTCGAAACTCATAAGAAGAGGAATATGACAGATAATTTTTACAACCCTGAATCATAGTATGGATACGCCAAGGAGGTTCAAGATCAACAAAGTACTAGAATAAGCTCCTTTGCATTCACTTTCAACTTCAACTTAATCCTTAATGGGTTTGAAGTTAAATTCGAATTCCGACGATCAGATACTATTTACAGCCAAACCAGATGGATATCTCACTTAAAAATTTACACTGCTTCAGCCCAGTATTCTAGAGAGGGGGAGGGGGGTGGTGGCCGGCCAAGAATTTGCACCCTAAGCCCTAACCAAAACCTTGCCTTTTGCTCTCCAGGTGACTGAGTTCACATGCAGCGGGTTTGTGATAGGATTCATCTTCTGCCACGCCATTTGCGACGGCCTAGGAATGGCACAATTCTTGAACGCAGTTGGTGAATTTGCGAGAGGCTTGCAGCAACCCAGCGTTGCACCAGTCTGGCTTAGAGAAATCATCCCAACGCCACCACGACTACTCCGCGCAGCCACCGGACCTACCCCCCGACGACCACCACCGCCCTCGTCGCCACCACTTACCATGCCGGATTACAAGCTACAACATGCCACCATAGACATTTCTCCAGATGGAATCAACCAACTGAAGGGAGAGTTCCTAGAGCTGACGGGGCGGACCTGCTCCACGTTTGAGGTGGTAGCTGCCTGCCTGTGGAGCTGCCGAACACGAGCCATAGATTTCAAAAGGGGCACCCAAGTCAAGCTCGTCTACCTCGCCAATGGCCGTCACCTCTTCAATCCACCATTACCGAAAGGTTTTTACGGCAACTGTTTCTTCCCAATAAACGTGACAGTTTCCAGTGAGGCACTGTCGCAGGCATCCATTGCCGAGGTTATTAAGCTGATACAGGAGGCCAGGTCTAGAGAGCTCATTGAGTTCACCAAGTGGTTGGACGGAGATTCTGGGGAAGCTGGTGCAGACTCATATGCTCCTTCTGTCATCTACTCTAGATTGGTTGTATCTGAGTGGGGCCGTTTGGGGTTGAATCAAGTCGACTATGGGTGGGGCCGTCCAGTTCATCTTGTCCCCATTGAAGGCTCTACCATAGCCCCAGTTGCAATCATAGGATACCCACCTACCCCAAAGAAGGGCATCCGTCTGATGACATGGAGCGTCAAAGGGGCCCACTTGCCATGCTTCCTTGAGCAGATGATGAACCTGGGTTTAGATGGGAGTGGAGTGTCTCTAGGATTGTTAAGATCAGCTTCTTTGTAGGGTTTCTTTTCTTTTCTTTTCATTAATTTTCATATTTGTATCAATTATCTTTGTATTTTCCGAGATACAAATCTACAAATTAACCTTGTGTTTTCATATTATTAATTTCAAAATTAGGGCAAATTATAGACATATATATTTTGGAGGTAATGAGTAATGATACACCCCCACAACTGTTTTTGTAAACTTTTAATTGGATTCCAGATTTCCAGCTAGCACTTTGTTCTCGCCATTAGAATTTCATCGGTTAATCTCAGGGAATATTCTGTTAAATATTTATAAAATCTCTAAATTGCTTTTATGCTATTTTGTGAGACCATTTTTCCCTTTTAATTTAGTTTCTTAAATCTTACACGTTTTTATAACTTTCTTAATTTTAATTAAGTTCATCTTGAGAAAATGAGTGATTTATCAATGCTTTGATAACAATTTGTAATTTACAATGATTACTTTTATCATTTTTCTATTTGTTGTTGTCAATGCATATAATCTTGAATAATGTAGGGTTGTAATTGGTAATTGGATCATTGGCATTGATCTAATTATTAAACCATTGGATCCAAATCTGATCCATCTTAATTATTGTGCACGCACACACTAGTAAATTTTTTATGATATTATAATGATAATAAATAATATTTTTTCAAAATTTTCTGTAAGTTTTTTATATTTCTTTGTTTATTAAAATTATTCTTCTTTGACGCATTTATTTTAGTTTAATATTAGAAATATGTCCAAATGTTTTTTTACAAAATTTCTGTATTTTTTATATTTTTGGTTTTCATCTTTTTTTATTTTTTTTATTATTTAATTATGACATCAAGGATTGACACATTTAACCTAAAAGGTTTAATTGTTGGCTTGCAATCAGAGAGGAACATAACTCCATTGTTAGATGCTTTTTTATGCAAATGAGGCAATTGTTGGGTTGGTTTTAAATTTGTATTTTATTTCTATTATCAATAAAAAACAATAATTCTTTGTCACACTTATTTTTTGTTTAATATGGTTAATTAATATAAGATCCAATCAAAGAATGTGAATTAATTCCCTAAATATAAAACTTAATGAGAGGGAATTGAATGAGGAGAAATGCAATAATTCAAATTACAATTTGTACCCTTACAATTAGAGAGGGGCCAAATTCAAGTATATGGGTATTTTAGTCAATAATAGGATTCAATGAATATCGATAAAGAAAGTTAATACTTTAAATATAAACTTAATGAAAGGGATTTGAATGAAGAGAATAATGGTCGTTCAAATTATATTTCTATCCTTACAATTAAAGAAGGACAAATTTCAAAATTTGGGAGATTTTAATCAAACAAAAGTTCCACTCTCATTCACATTTTTATATATACTAGTAAGCGTGTGCAAAAGCACATGGTAATTATAAATGATGACAATGATACTATGATAGTAATAATGTATCCAAAAATTTATATAAATATGCATTTTTATTTTTTGTTTTATATGTTTTTTGCTTTTTATTATTAATCAAATGCATATTGCAAAATTTAAACTTGATTACATAAACACCTCATATAAATATTTGATAATCGAATCGAGTTGTAAAATTTTAAGTATCATTGAAAAGTCTATTTGCTTGGTTAGATTCTTCTTTTCATAATATTTTATCTTTTTGGTGTTTTTTCTATTCATTTATCAGAAATGTAAGATTTAAATCGAGGGAATTGAATAAGGTGAAAAATAGTAGTTCAATTCACAATTTAAACCTCACAATTAAATAGGGACTAAATTCAAAAATGAGTTGTAAAGTTTTAAGTATCATTGACAAGTCTACTTGCTTGGTTAGATTCTTATTTTCATAATATTTTATCTTTATGGTGTTTTTTCTATTCATTTATCAGAAATGTAAGATTTAAATAGAGGGAATTGAATAAGGTGAAAAATAGTAGTTCAATTTACAATTTAAACCTCACAATTAAATAGGGACTAAATTCAAAAATGAGTATTTTAGTCAAAATAAAGTTCCACAATCTTTTTTATATTTTTAATAGTAGTGTAAATATAAATTATAGATGTGTTCAATTTTTTCTATATATTTTTTATACTTTTGTATAAAAATAATTCCGATATGTCACACTTAATTTTAATTTAATATGATAATTAATTAATATTATACATGTACCTAAATGTTTTATTTGTAACACATGTGTTTTTTTTTCATTTTTGTATTTTTATATTGTATTAGTTTTTATTATTTATTTATGACATTAAATTTTAATGCATTTGACCCAAAAGTTGAATTATTGATCTTTTCCAAATAGTAAAATAATTTCATTTTTAATTAGTTCTAAAGTATGCATTTCATCTTCATTATCAATAAAAGGAAATCTTTTTATTACACTTATTTTTTAATTTGATTAATAAAAGTATCATAAATGTGTCTAATTTTTTCTAAATTTTTGTAATTTTCTATATTTTTTCTATTTTAAAAATTTTATTACCTAACTATAACTACATAGATCTATCAATTTGGCTTGAATGGTTGAATTTCTTAGCCATCACTTGGATAAAGAATGTTTTTGTTTTTTAGCTTGTTTTAAAATATATGGGTTTATATTGTTAAAAACATTGACATAGATCTAACTAGTACCATTTATTGGTGAAAAATAACATAAATATAAGATTTAATAAGAAAAAAAGGGAGTTGATACCTTTAAGTATAAGACTTAATGAAAGGGGATTAAATGAGGTGGATAGTAATAATTGCAGTTACATTTTCAATCCTTACAATTAAATATGGATTAAATATACAAATATGGCCATTATAGTAGCCATTAAAACTGACATTAAAGCTATAATAAAATGACTTTTATACATTTTCTCAAACAAAGAAATAGAGGATAATTTTAGTCCAAAAAAAGTTTCACATCACGCACACACACACACACACATATAGGAGTGAGCAATGGATTGGTACGTACTCAAAACCAATTGGAATTGGATTCAAACCATCCTTGTCCAATCAATTCTCAAGTAGGTCCAACTCCAAATTCTTGGAACTAACTCCCACTCAAGTTGGTTCGAGAGTCTAGGGGTTTATCCTACCAATTAACCCAAAGAACCGGCCTTGATTGGTCTAGATGTAAATTGAAGTTTGCATATGAATTTGAATGGTAGATCATGCATTGATTATGTTATATTGTTTGGGTTGATTGTGGATTGTATTTTATTTGCACTGAAATTGTTTTTAACTAAATTGTAAAATGTGTGTAAAGTTGGATTATGGATTAGTAATGATTATATGATACTAGTAAGTGTGCACGTGCTTTAAATGTGACATTTTTTATTTAGTTTGTTTATGGATTATGATTTATTTTCTTTGATATTGAATGACTATATGGATTTGAAATATAGAATGTTTATGATAGATTGTCACCCAAGGCCAAAGATTTGAAAGGGAAAAAATATTATATTATGATTTTTTTTTATAAAGAACAATTTTCATGGATAGACCCTAGAACCAACCTTAGAACCACCAAGACCAAAAGTGACATTGAAACCAATCTTGGACCCAACCCCTAAAGGCTAGGTTTGTATCATTTCTAGGTTTTGCCTTAAAACCCAACCAAACCAGCCCATGCTCACTCCTACTATATATTACCTATATATTATGTATATACATAAATTAAATCCACATCTATACTTGATTATTAATCAAATGCAAATCCTAACATCCAAATCCGGTACCGTTCTTAAGCATTCTTAAGCATAAATCACTTTCAAAATGTGTTAAATGATTGATTGGTTAAATGATAGCAACAAATATCAAATCAATGAAATAACCATTCTTAAGCATAAATCACTTTCAAAATGTGTTAAATGATTGATTGGTTACCAGATGGTACCGGTACCGTTCACTTACCTTGGTTAAGTGACGGTTTTCAAGGTCATAATGAGCCAATCAGGCTCACCATTATCTCTCTCTCACACACACATTAAATATTTTGATTATCTATCCTCATTAATCATGCCATTAACTCTCTCTCCTCCAATAACTCACTCCACTAATTCTTTCTCCTCTCAATCACTCCGTTAAATTTCTTAAAATTCATTGACTCTTTTTTCTTTGAAAATTAATAATAAACCAAGCACACTTTGCTTAAGGGTGATCATTTCAGCCCAGCCTAGGCCTAGGATTGTATCAGGCCCATAAATTTCAAGGTTGGGCTTGGGCCTAATACTTTAAGCCTGAGCCAACCCACAAACAAAAAAAAAGTTTAAATTTTAGTTAATAAAAAATATTAGAAATAATTAAATCACCCAAACATGATGCTCGCATTGGATACAGTGGGTTCCTTTTGTTTTAATTCCACTTAGCAAAGCCCATGCATCGCACAAGTCCCAACTAAAAATCTACATGCACACAAATGCCTATGCACACACAGACACAAAAAACAAAGTTCAGATTTCGTCCTTGCATAATTTGTTCTCACATTGTTCCCACAACAATCCCAGCCATGCATTGGGATCATCTCTGTACTTATATGTTTTCATTTGTGCAAAGATGTTCCTAGTGCAAGACTTGAAGTGTTGTAAGGGCAAGCTTTGTGAGGACGAATCCGAATTCACTAAAACATGGGAGGGTGTGTTTTTTTCCCTCGTTTTGTGAATTTTTATTTTTATTCCAAGCTATATTATATTACAAAAAAGTATTAAACTTTAGCAATACTTGATCTAACAATTATTAAAATTTAAGAAATAAATAAAAATTAGTAGTTCAAAAATTAAAAGTTAAAATAACTAATATTAATAGAAAAATTAATAATAAAAAATAAAAAAATTATTAAAAGTAATCAAAACAAACAACTTGCATTCCATATAAATAATAAAAATAATAATGACCCAATTGGAAATGTCATAAGGCTCCTCCTTAGGGATGAACATTTGTGACCTAAACTAACCTCTAAACTATCAAATTTCTAGACTTAGGCAACTATTTTCTTCTCGGTTAGGCCCAACTCAATTCCACACCAAGTCCACACGTAATGTGGATTAGGCCCAAGCTAAGAAACCCCTAAACTTGACCCAAAAGTTATATACATATATTGTAAATATTATATATAATATTTAGA